TCAGTCCTTTCCCGCAGATCTGTTAGGCTGAGATTCATAACATCCAGTTTCTGATGAATAGGGGTGATGCTGTCTCTAATTTCTTTTTTCATTTCCACCAGCATGGTCTGTATGTCTTTCTTAGTAATTGAGTCCTCACGTTTTCTTTTACTCTGCCGGCTAGGTGCCTCTTCTTCCAAGTCGACTTCTAATGGGGGAGGGGAGTCCTCATCCGATGGTTGCATAGTTTGCTCATTTTGTTGAGCTCCCTCGTTGTTTTTCTTGGCTGCTTTCCCTCCTTTCCCTCCTCTTTGCTTCCCCATTCTTATCAGCAAGTTGTTTTTGTCGTTATAGTCCTCAATTAGTCTTTATTTTGCGTTTTTTGGAGCAAAGACGCGGAGGCTCTCTCGGTCCGACTGCGCAATCTCGCAGCCACCGGAAACTCCCCTACCTGATCCTTCTAACTGGAGATGCTGGAGATTAAACCTGGGACCTTCTGCATACGAAGCAGACACTCTGCCACTGAGCCACCGCCCTGGTCTACCTTGAAAGCTCTGAGAACTTCACTGCTGGGTCAGAACATCTAACCCAGCCTCCTGTTACCAACAGGGGAAACTCACCATTAGGGTATTGTGACGACCCCTTATCTGGGGAGGTCTGGTTTCCCTTTAAAATGTTCTTTATGTTTTTTTTTTTTACTGTGTATATCCGGCTGCCACCGGGAAATTTAAGGCTTTCCAAACCTTTATATTATAATAGTTCTATCACTGGGTAGGTAGGTCGAGGTTTTAGGCTTTCATGAGGGTCTATGTGTTTCATGAGAAATTATTTCTTTCAGAGCTGGCAAACTTAAATAAAAGTAGATTTATTGATATAATTCGTAAATAATATGGTAGAACACTGTAACTAGGATTGGGTAAATACTAAACAATTGCTTTGGGTAATTCACACACTTTTCTCTCCACTGTCAGGGATCTTGGCATGTAACTTTGTAACTTTAACTCAAGGTCATGTAAGTTCACTGTTTCTCTCCAGGACATACAGCCTTTCCTAAACTTTGTCTTCAATTACTTTCATTTACATTTTACTATTCTCTCAGAACAACCTCAGCTGTTCTTAACTGCACACACAGACTGCTTCTCTCACAGACTTCCGAACGAACTAACT